GTGGCCGAGGAGGTTTCAGAAGTGATAGAGGTGGACGAGGTGGTGATAGAGGTGGTCGAGGAGGTTTTCGTGGTGGAGATAGGGGAGGAAGAGGTGGTCGAGGTGGTCCCATGAGAGGTGGTGGAGGGTTGGTTTCATATATATATAATTACATTATTTAAATTAAATAAGTAAATAATGAGTAATCATTATTTTTTTTCTTATTATTTCAGCCGAGGAGACAGAGACAGGGATCGTCAGCGGCCGTATTAGGCACAATTTAAAAAGTGATTAAATCACCTACTGATGTATTGTACACAGTTTGTACACAATTTCAACGTATGTACATTTTTCATGACCATGTGTTAAACTCACTATCATCGATTTGTTTTCTCATAATTTTTTATATTCACGAAAATCGATGCATAACATGTAATTTTTGTGTTTTATATGCACATGTAAATGATAATCATATGTGTAAAGTTACATTTTAATAAATAAGACTTCAATCCTGTAACATCAAATTTTGTACATTTAATAATCTTTTATATTTAAAAATATCCTTAAATTTATAAAAAAGAAACCAAAAACGCTGGGAAATTTTGTTTATTGAAAGATAAAAATATAGTACAATAAATTTATATCTATTTATGTATACATGTATATAAATCTAATAGATAATTGAAAAAAGAAATGATAACTAAGTAATTCGAAATAAATACATTGCGTTTTTACAGTCAACGCATGCCTAAAAATTTTCCGAATAATAAGCTGTATTGTTTAAATTCATTTTATCATGGTACATATACGGCTTACATATGGATAGATAAGATGAAGACCTCTAGTTTATGGATTTACTTGAATGGTATGATATTTTACAGCTTTCTTTACTTTCATTTAATCTCTGCGTTTACGTTGATCTTTTGACATTTCCTGTAATGAAAATTATAAATATTAATAAATTTAACATATTCATAATATAACATATGTTATATTTCATAACATAAAATAATATTTCTATATATAATTATTAATTTTTACCTTTTGTGTGAGAATTATGACGAGGTAGCGGAAAATACCGATGAAATCTACAAATAGATCTAGGGAGTGTAGAATGAAATCTTTGCTACCAATATGGAATTTTTCAATGATTAATTGTGTATCATAAATAACAAAACCACACATCAAGAATAGACCAATGTATAAATGGGCTTGGTAGAATAGGGACCAACGTAAAAAGAGATTGACGAATGAAAATAAAACCATAATATTTAGCAAGCTAATTAAGGTACCACCAAGATACAACCAACGTCCTCTTTCAGCCAAAAGAGAAGAAATACTGAATGATACAAATATAATAGTTGTTCCTAAAAAAATAATTATATTACTAAAAATTAAGAGAATTTCATAACTTACATCATATTTTAATCTTCCATTATTATTATTATTTTTCACATTTAAAGAATAAATTTATATTGTTATCATACCTATCAAAGCAGTTACTATAATACTTGGATTAACATTCATAACTAATTGAAGTAAAGGACCCAGGCCAAGTCCAGAGAAGAATGCAAATCCCAGAAGATAGCTAAGACGTAACTTTTGATTTTTTCCATTGTCTGGTGTGCTGACTAAGGCAAAGAGAAGACCCAATGTACCAAGAGTTGTTAGGAAATTAGCTTGTAAAAGCTCCGAGAACATGTGAATGTAAACTCCTGCAGCAGCTGATAGTGTTGACATGGACAGACATCCATAGACATTTTTCAAATGTTGTCTAACAGGAGGTTCCCTATAATTATAAATTATAAAATATTATTTTCTTACATATATTTAAGACGATATTAGGAAAAGTTAAAAAATTTTCATTTTTATTACTGTTTTTTAAAATATAAACATTTTAAAAACATATAACCAATATTATAATTCATAAATTTGGTTTGTAGGAATATACATATGTGAATGTTTATACAATTCTAAATATATAAAAATTTAAATAATTTAAATATAAATAGAAAAATATTAATTATAGATACATACATACATAGAAAATAATGATAAAATTTGTTGACTTGGATCTTTATGTTAAAATATATATATATATATATATATATATATATTATAGTAAAAGAAAATAATTAAAA